GCCACTGGTACAGAAGAGCAACCTCCACATAATCTCATACTGTATTTAAACTCCTTTTTCTAATCCCTTGTGCGTGCAATGAACGTGGTTCCCACATTCACCCCCACCCTCTCACAGAGGACACTGGTGTTGCCTTTCCACCTCCCTGCGTTTTTGCTGCAATTAAACACCTGCAGAAATTGTTCAGGACAAACTGATCAAACGTCCCGTCCCACAAATGATTCCCACTAACGCCGCCCCCTCCACCACGTTGGCTCCCGATCCCGGCGGGCCGGCTGCCGCGGGGTTGTGCCGAGCAGGTCGGCCGCGGTGTGCTCCCCACCGGCTCAGACGAGTTCCTGAGTGCTGAAGTTCATCCCTGACCTGAAGTTCACATTCAGACGTGCGGCGGAGCCAAGAGATGCATTACAGAAGTTCACTCCGAGTGCCCCTCTCGCCGCCTGCCAAGCGATGCCCGTGGGCTGGCTGCCAGCAGAGCTGAGGACTGCCTGGCTGTGGTTTTTTAAATCATATAAAGGGCACTCTCACTCCTTTGCAGACTGTGTAGGCTGGTCGTAATGTCAAGAAACGCGTCTTAGTTCCCCTTTGATAGCCGTCATAGCAAACCAGCATTCTGCACTCCGAGTTACTCTGTCCTCTGCAGCACCCTGAGGGCTTCAGCACTCGCAGAAATCCTCCAGGGAAAGGCCCCAGGGAGCTCTGGATACAGGAACTCTGCCTTCCTTCTTCCCTGCCTTGGTCGCAAGCCTCTTTTTTCACAGTTACAGACAGCAATTCTGGTTTTTCCCCCACAATTCACTTGCCTCTTCTCTGCAGAGAGCCAGTTCTTTGGCAGGAGTTTCCCTCTGCGGAGCGTGGGTGAACCTGCCCGCACGACACCCGAATTCCACGAACACCTGCGGGTCTCGGCAGGCAGTGACTGATGGCAACAGGCAGCACAATCCCCCAAATTCATAAGGGCATCGTCCTACCTTCCGTGGGCTCTGCCGTCCCACTTCAAACACAGACATGAACCGATGCAGAAAAGACAAACAAAACAAAGCTAAACAAAATGTTTAAACTGGTTTCTCTCTTTTAAGGATCTTTATGCATTAGACCTAGAACCATACCGCTACTCTGGAGTGAACCTGACCGGCTTCCGGATCCTCAACGTGGAGAACCCGCACGTGTCCTCCATCATCGAGAAGTGGTCCATGGAGCGGCTGCAGTCAGCGCCGAAGGCGGAGCTGGGGCTGCTCGACGGCGTCATGATGGTACGGGAAGTTCAAACAAAGCACGGGTGAGGTTTGGGAAGCAGACCAGAGCAGTAGGAAAGGCAGAAACATTCGTCAAGGGCTACACGTTATGGTTACTGGTGTTGTACTAGTAGCGACTCATCCCAGGTATCTTTCCCAAGGTAGCCACTTGCATCCTTCAATAACCGTCCTGGAACGCAGCGAGTTCGGCTGGCGAATCCCTGCAGCCCACTGCAGCGTTAACGCCCCCATGCTGCAATCCGGCCGCAGACAGATTTGCCAATTTTGAGAGACTGTGCCCCTTCCCTCCCCTCCCCTTCCCTGCCCTCCCTTCCTGACAGCCGCCCCCAGGACTGGCAAAATTCAAAGTTCCAGAAAGGGCTGAGCACAGCCGGGAAGCGCCCTGGCAATTTCCTGCTGGGAACAAGAAGAGAGGGCGCTGCCATCCGCGGGCACCACCATCCGCGGGCACCACACTCCTTGTGCCGGTGCAGCAGCGTTTCTCCGCGCTCGCCTGACGTGCAGCCGCGGCGGCCGCTCGCTGAGCGGGGAAGGGACGGGCTGTGTGCGCCCCAAACCCCGGAGCACCCAGGAACGGGCATCCTCTCTCTCCAGGTGCCCCCCACCAGCCCTGTTCCAGCCCTGCAGGTCCCTTGCCCAGTCCCGGGAGCAGCTGGAGAGCAGAAACACTCCTGTCCCACCGGACAAGCGGGTAGCCCGGGCCTGTCCCACGGGTGCTTACATGGCCCCGGCTGCCATCGTCCGCCCTGGCAGAGCCAAGGGCAGCAACCGCCCTGCTCCGGGGCTGGGAGCACAGCGCGCAGCTGGACCAGGCCAGGCAGTTCGCTGACATTGATGTAGGGAGAAGGAGCCAAAGCCATGCCCAGAGATGGGTTTGCTGCAGCTTTGATGACTCCTTTTAGGGTCTGATGGCAGCTCTGCTCCGCTGAGTTACTGCTCGGAAGGTACAGCACCTGCTCGCCCATCTGTCTTCCCTGCGAGCCTGTCTCCGACCCCCGTAATTGCTGACTTCCCTCCTTCCCTCTCCCTTCAGGTCTGCCAGAACCCTCCCCAAGTGGCAAAGCCTCCCTGACTTTCACCTTGAAACAGCTCCTCGTATCCCTCCTGTTCTTCTTTTTTTCCCTAGCGAAGAGCCCCACCGTTCTCCTTCAGCCTTCTACTTTTCTGCAGCGCTGCCCACAACTGCAGCATCCCGTTGCCTGCAACGGTGCCGGGTTCCCCCTGTGCCGCCGGCTCCTCTCCTCTTCCCTGTTTGCTTATAGAATCACAGAATGGTTTGGGTTGGAAGGGACCTCACAGACCATCCAGTTCCAACCCCCCTACCATGGGCAGGGACACCCTCCACTACACCAGGTTGCTCAAAGCCCCATCCAACCTGGCCTTGAACACTTCCAGGGATGGGGCAGGGATGCTTCTTCAGAGGGGATCCTGACTTTTATTTGCCTGGTGTCTAGCCCAGCCGGGCCCTGCTCTCGGCTGGGCATTACAGTATGTAATTCACCATGAAATTCCTTGGACGTATTCTTGTACCCCCTCTCCCCCAGCCCCAAATTTACAAAACCTGCTGCTGTGAACAGAAGCTCACAGGCTGCAGGTTGGGCGCCTGCTCTTCATGCTCGGGTGCTGCGGGGAGGGAAGGTCACGGGGACGGCTGCCAGCGCTGGAGGATTTTCTCCATGGCCACGACCTGTTAGATATTTGCCCAATTATTTGCTGTACTGTTTTGCTTTATTGTGTTTTATTATGCTGCTGCTACACTCACATCTGTTTTGTAGCTCTGTGAAGCCAGCAAATAATGTATTTTCACTAGAAGGACTTAACCGTATCGGAGTGAAAAATAAATCCAATTCTCTTGATCAGTGTTTGGAGGTGAGATGGGGCATCTCAAATTGAATCTAAAACCATCACATTACATGGAAGAAAAAAAAAGTTCTCCCTAGTTCAAATCACTGAAACGTGGGAAGATGTTACAAATCTGTGAGGTCCTGATTTTGGTGACAGCTTGGGCCATTTTGGAAAGTTCCAAGCCCACGGACAAGCCATTTAACTTCTTTGTGTCTAATTTCCCTATGTATAAAATACAGGGAAATATATATATATAGTTTTTTTTCACACGCAGACAAAACAGACTAAACAAGAAAATTCTGTTACTATCTTCTACATTTAAAAACCGCTGCATTCTTTGTTTGACAATACCGTAGTAAAGGCACTAGAAATGACCAGAATAGATGCACCCAGTCAAATGACATTTTCACAATCGCTGATTTTAAGACAGAACTATGACCTTTTAGTCTAAAGAGCCATGTAAAAGCACTGGGGAGGCTTTGGCACGTGCAGAGCTCGGTGTCTGGAGGACGTGTTTTGCATGAGGGCAGCCCAGAGGTTCACACAAGTCTTGTGTTACAGCTCAAGCGTTCACAGCAATCTCCCGAGATCCCAGTGAATCCCCGGGGAATCCAGCCCTGCCCTGGGCGCTGCTGGCAGGGTTGGACACCCGGCAGGTGGGATGGTTGGCACCGGACCAGGACAGGGAAACCCTTGGGTGTGCCAGGTGCCGGGCAGGGGGTAACTCGGAGGGGATTCTTACAGCTCCTCCTGCGACACGTTACGGATCCCCCCTGCTTTGCTGTCCCAGCGCTTCCTTGCTCTGGAACCACTCCCAACACAAATGCTGTTCCCCTCTCTTTAGACAGACGCTGCCCTGTTGTATGACGCGGTGCACGTGGTCTCTGTCTGCTACCAGCGCGCCCCTCAGATGACCGTCAACTCCCTGCAGTGCCATCGGCACAAAGCCTGGAGGTTTGGTGGCCGCTTCATGAATTTCATAAAAGAGGTAAAAGCAAGATTTGCAACCGTAATCGCTTCCCACTAATGCGAAATTTCCCCAGCAGCAGCGGCAGCGCAGCTGCGCGGCGCACGGGCACGGCGGCACGTGGCAGAGAGGCTTGGCAGGCACCGGGTTGTAAAAAATCCCCCCACCTGGGCAGGTACAACTGGGTGGAAGCACAGATATACACCAGGCTGCAGAGTGCACCCAGAAAGGAAAAATCCTGCCTTTGCCTTCAAAATAACATCCGTGCCGCCATGCCAAATGCTCCAAAACAGGCTGAAATCTCCCGTGCTGCCACTGAGCCTTGCCCCAGCCTCTCCTTGCGTCACGAGCAGCTGGACCGCTCTCAATGAGGCCGTTTCTTAGCCGAGCAACAGCCATTTGCCTTTTACAGGAACATTTGCTCGAGGCCCACAAAGGGCGTTCGGTGCAGCTAAATCCCAGCGGCAAAGCTGGCAGCGTGGCAGGGCTGCCTGCGGCAGCGCGGTGGGTTTAGCAGGAGGGAGCCAGGGGAGCGAGGAGGCAGCTCCGTTCCCTCTCTGCTTTCAGTCATTAGGATTTCTCTCTGTTCAGCCCACGTAATTGTTTGCTTGCATCTGGCTTAAGCACGCGGGCGCGCTCAGACCGCAGGCGTTAATGCGCCGCGTGCTCACCAAGCTCGGGGAAGGTGCCACGAGAGCAGCCGCCCTCCAAAAGAGCCCCCGCGCACGCACCCCCACGCTCACCCCCCAGCTCTGCCTCTGCCTGCAAACAGGAGCCCTCACATGAGAATAAAGTGAAGGCAGAACTGCAGGGAGATACTGCAAACCCTACCAGATACGTCTTCGTGATAAAACCCCCTTATTTACCCTCAGGCGTTTTTAAACTTCTGCGCCTGTGGCTCTCCGCACGGGAAGTTGCACAACTGGCTGCAGTACGGGATGTGACTGGTGTGACTGGGCCGCAGTTAAAAGGCTGGGTACAAAATCCCCTGAAGTTGCTAAACAGAAAAGAGAAGTAGTGTGTTGTTAATCGTGATTGTGATCTGTGCTGCAGCATCGCCTGCAGAGCCCGGCAGACCCTGGGACAGGCACAGGGGTTCAGCGAGCGCGTGCCCAGCCCAGGCGCTGCCCAAGCTGCACGGAGCGCACAGAGGTAGGGGAGGAGAGAGGAAGAACGACTCCCATTGCAGAGAGAGAATGAACTTTTCTTGTAAGAGGCACTGAAAATGGTATCTCTCCTCTCTCGGCCTCTCTCTCTCCTTTTTTGTGTTTTGTTCCCTTCTGCAGAAAGCCACTCCAGCTGGCTGCCAAAGGAGACTGTAAATAATTTGTTTGGTTGGCTCCTTTTGCAAATTACCCTGAGCCTCACACTCCAGTGCCTGCCTGTTGTTTCCCTTTCTGGCACGGTGTCAGCTCGTTGCAGGGATAAGCTTCCTCCCTGTTGCAATCAGAACACGCAGTAATTGCTCTCCCTAAACTCCCGTAAAGACGAGGCGGTGCACAGAGGGGCCCCTCACCGCAGACACCCGCTCCCTCCGCCCTGGGCTGCCCACACGTCCCAGCTCCTCTCTGGCCACAGCCTGCCTGGAGGCCGGGACAGCACTTGGAGTTTGCCCGCAGAGACGGAGCCGACACCAGCAGGTTCAGAGCCTGTTGGGGGCCACGGCGGTGCTGTGCACCCCCAGCCCAGCCCCAGGCACCACGCGGCCCTCGATGCTCTCACTGCAGTGCCATGGGAGGTGCAGGGCTTGGCATGCAGCTGTGTTTGCCCCAGGGGGGTGCGTTAAACACTCCGTGTTTTCCCAGGCTCCCGGGGGGCTCCGCAGGCTGCGCATCCCACGGGCAAACCACCTGCGCGCCAACACGAGCAAAGCGAGCCCAGCCTTCCCCAAAGCTGGAGGGTGGCGAGGCTGGGAGGAGGCTGTCATTGCTCCTCGGGAATTAATGAGGAAGAGCCAGAGGAGCGTATTTACTGGGAAATATGCCAGTCATTCCCCCCTGAGAACACATTATGCCACCTTCATCACACTGGGATATTTCAAGCTCCCCTGCCCATAAAGGAAACACATTCATCAGGGAGGAGCGTGCACGGTCTGAACTGCTCCAGGGAAGGAGCCCGAGCCCCAGCCCTCCACCGCGGAGACGCGACAGCAAAGCAGCAAACCGTGGCAGCAGCCGGGCACTCTGCGGGAGCATCCGCCGCGGGACGGATGTGTACGGCACATCCCAGCACTGTCCCTGGGCAGAGCAGGCACCGTGCACCGCGCTGTCCCTTAGCACCTGCTCTGCCAACACAGACAGCTCTGAAACTCGGCGCTCTCCCACCTCCTAAATCAGGGAG